GGCCCATAATAACGAACGCCTAGTTTAGTTGCGGCCCTTTGTGCCGTGGTGCGCTGTCTGAATGGTCGTAGCTTCAGGTAGACATACTCGCCTGGTGCAAAACTTTCCTCACGCCTTTTCCCGTCTGCGAAGGCTTTGGTTCGATTGATTGAGCCTTCGAGATTTTTCTTCAATTCTCGCAACATTAGATCTCGTTCCTCTAGCTCTCGACCAACCTCATCGTTGATTGTACTCCTCTCTGAATAATTGATCAGTGTTGGGGGTTTTCGCCCGTATACCAACTCAAATGGCGTCATCTTTGTCGACTCGTGGTAAGTGGTGTTGTACCAGTACTCAGCCCAAGACAAAAAGTTTTCCCATCGCTTCGGTAATTGATGGACGTAGCATCTCAATATTGCTCAAGGGTTCAGTTGGTTACCTCAGTCTGTCCGTCTGTCTGTGGGTGGTAGGCTGAGCTCATAGATAACTTAGTCCCTTGCAACTTGAAGAATTCAGACCAAAAACTGCTCATAAAAATCCATTCTCAATCAGAGATGATGGATCGTGGTGCTCCATGCAGTTTCATTACATACTCCACAAATAGCCTGGCAATTGACTTTGCGGTGTATGGATGGGTAATGGGTATGAAGTGAGCATACTTTGTGAGACGATCCACTACAACCATAACACCGTCAAATCCATTAGAACTCGGTAACCCCTCTATGAAATCCATAGTAATGTCTTCCCAGATTGCCTCGGGTACTGGTAGAGGTTGTAACAGCCCGCTCGGTCGTCGTGAGTCAGACTTAGTGCGTTGGCAATTGTCGCACTGTGCTATGTAGTCTCGGACGATATTCTGTTGCCCGGGCCAGAAGAAAGTGTTGGCTATTCTCATCCACGTGTGATAGATACCCGAGTGGCCTCCAACTTTAGAGTCATGGAAGTGCTGCATGATCTGCTCACGTAACTGCCCACTGTCGAGTACGAATACTCGGCCTCGGTGTAGAAGCAGACCATTATGCAACTCGTAGTCGATAGCCGTTGTCTTACCTGCTTCTATTGATTGGCGCAGCTCCTGGCAACAGGTGTCCTCTTCTTGCGCCTTCCTGATTTCTTCCCAAATTGTCCAAGTTGGCCCAGTGATAGCATTCAGCTCGGCTACATCTGTTCGTCGGGATAGTGCGTCAGCTACTGCATTCTGTCGACCCGGTCGATAGATTATCTCGAAGTCAAACCCCATAAGTTTAGACACGAACTTCTGCTGCTCGGGGTCACAATCCTTTGCTCCAGTAGATGCTTAAACGGTTGCTGGTTGGTAACAATCTAAAAACGTCGGCCTAATTGATAAGGCCTCTAGCACCTTACAACCTCGACAACTGCTAGTATCTCCTTTACGTACACCGATAGACCCAATCGTGTAGTGCCTAGTGCTTTGCTGAGATAAGCTAAGGGTCGTCCCTCTTGTACTAACACAGCTCCAATCCCAATGTCACTCGCATCGGTGTGTACCTCAAACAAGACATCGAACCTTAGCATGGCGAGCACTGGCGTAGTAGTCATGGCTTCTTTCAGTTTCCCAAACGCCTTCTCGCTAGCTTCGGTCCACGTGAACCCGCCTCTCTTAGTCATCTCTGTCAATGGCTTGGCGATGGTTTCATAGTCCTTTACGAACTTTCTGTAGTAGCCCGTGAGTCCTAGAAACCCTCTCAACTGCGTGAGACTTGTTGGTTTAGGCCAATCTACCATAGCCCCAATTTTTCGTGGATCAACCTTCACGCCCTCGTGTGTTATAAAGTGCCCTAGATACTCAACCATCTTCTACCCGAATGAACATTTGGATGGTTTGATGTGGAATGATTTGGCCTCCAAAATTTCGAGCACTACTCTCAAATGCCCAAGATGTTCGCCCCACGACTTCGAATAGATCAGGATATCATCAAAGAATACCAGAATGAACTTACGTAGATACTCTTTGAAGATAGAATTCATAGCGAACTGGAAGGTGGATGGGGCGTTGCACAATCCGAATGGCATGACCAAATACTCGTAGTGCCCTTGGTGCGTACGAAAAGCTGTCTTTGGAATGTCGGCCTTGTGGAGTCGAATCTGATGGTAACCAGCTCTCAGGTCGAGCTTTGAGAAATAGCGGGACCCGACTAACTCATCGCGCATGTCGTCAACGCTAGGGATAGGAAATCGGTCCTTGATAGTTTCAGCGTTCAAAGCTCGGTAATCCGTACAGAACCTCCACGTGCCGTCTTTCTTTTTGGCTAACAAGACTGGAGAAGAAAACGGACTCTTGCTATGCTGGATTAGTCCTGATTCAAGCATCTCGGCCACTTGCCGTTCGATCTCGGTTTTCTGAAAGTGAGCATACCTATAAGGATGAACGTGTATGGCATGCTGCTCATTGATCAGTGGTATGCGATGATCGAACTCTCGGTGTGGTGGTAGTCCCTTAGACTCGCCCAGTACTCCTTCGAATTCCCCGAGAAGCTCGCGCACATCACCCTGCTGTTGTTCATCTTGGTCTATGTGCGCCTTAGTGTTCTCGACCACTACCGCAAAAATTTGGCCGCCACCTCGCTAAACTCTTTCGATGCTTTTCAGCCCTACTTCCTTAGTACCTTTTCCGGTGCCCGTACTCAGAGTGACTTGTCGACCTCCAGAGTTGAATTCCATAATCCCTGTTCGATAGTCAGTAGTCACCCTGCCTAACCCCTTGAGCCATTGCATCCCCAGAACGACTTCCGGTCCAACTAAAGGTAAGGCGTACAGATCGACCTTCACAGTAACCCCGTTATACTTGATTGGCACCTTCCGGAATGACTCAGTACATTGTAGCCTTTCTCTATTGGCTACTCGAACTTCAAAGGGCTCGATTTTTGTGGTTGGCAACTTCAGCTTTTCAGACAGATCAGTATTGATGAAGTTATGAGACGAACCGTTGTCTACGAGCACGACTACACAACGGTCCTTGACCCATGCTGGTAGACGCATCGTCCTTGGTCCTCTGATTCCAGCCATTGCATGCATCGAGATCTCAGGCTCCTCATGGAGTGCTTCAATCTCCTCTTCCTGGTGTAGTTTCTCCTCGACCTCAGCTTCCTCATCGTCGGGGTTGGCCACCTCTATTACAAAGGCCT